GTAGTATCATAAATATCATAGATTTTCTTTAATTGTATTTTCCTATATAAAGAGCATGAAAATGCCTTGAAAAAAGGCGATTCAAAGGAGATTCCAACAAATTCTCAATATTGTATTCAATAACAATAATAAACACTCTTAACACTTTTACAAACATAAAACTTATAATTTATTTCTTGTTAACTGAATAAACTCTAATAAACAGTGTGTCAAGTTGATTGAATTTAAGTCATAGCTATTGCCTCCCTGACTTTAAATTATAGTTAACTTATTTGATGAAAAGAGTAACGTTAACAATGTTCCACTTGCTAGTCAAGTGATTTATGTAGATTTGAAAATAGTGAGAACTTTAGAAGTAGATTAATATACTTTTTTATGATGAGTAATTTAGTAAATAGTGTTTTGTATTTTTATAGTTTACTTTCGATAAAGAGTATTATATTAATATTGTGATCCTATAAGATCTAACAAAGCATATGAAAGTAACTACTCCAGGCCTTGTTAAAAATAATTGTGATTCCTTCATTTTGAATTTCATAGACAGTATTACAGATGTCTTAAATAATAGATTTTTACATGATAAAAGTTGAAAAGAATCTAATAAAAAACTAGCAAAAGTTATATTAGGTATACTCAATATCTTGTGAGTATTTCAGTAATAAGAGTCTTAACAATCATATTTATCATTTCTTAAAATTTCTGTTTGAAATTACATTTAACATTATTTTTTATAGGAGAAATATTTGAAAAATCCTACCTTCAACTCCTCTTCAATCTTTGCTGGCTATACTTTAACATTCGACTGTAAAAATATAACCAGATTTTTTAATTGAAAGATCTTTTAATGATGCTCGAATTATCAGAACTATTACATCAGTTATATATGTTCTTTCACTTTGTGAATTAATCAGTTTTGGACTGAAAAATAACCAAATGTTATATTTATCGCTAGTTGTAATAATAGGTCATATGAATTAATTAATGGTAAAAGTTCTCGTATTATTTGTGACAAATAAAAAGGAAAATGATAGGGTAAAAACTTGAAGAGAGATGAATGATGAAATGTATTGGGCTCATAAAGGATATAAACTAGACAAAGATGATTTTGGTATTATTGAGAACCAAATCGCCAGAACTGAGATATATCTAAATATCCTCATTTGAGATATAAACGAGATACACTATTTTTATAATTTACATATAGTTATAATTCTGATACAGTTAACAGATAGAAATACAGTATTTAAATTTGTTGAAGCTTTATTGACAATACGAATATGTGAAATGTAATTCTTATATCTTATTTGTTTAAAATTAACGTATACTTATAATTATAGAATATCTTGCATATTAATATATCTCTTCTGTATTATGTGCTTTCAACTAGTTTAAGTAGTAATACAGAAAATAGCTTCACAGTATCTTCTCTACTAAGATCATCATCATCACAAAAATAAAAAAAAAGTCTATAAAATTTGAAAAAAAAATAATCTAATTATTATTTATATTACTGTTTCAATAAAGTGCCCTAGTGGCTAATTATTTTTACATATTCATCTGTAATTTTTCATGTAAGATATGCATCCAATAATAATTTTTTTGAATATTAACATATAAAGCATAAATAATATTATATTAAGCAAGTATGCAATCTGTATCATGTGATAAAAATATTAGTGATCATTAATCATATGATTAATATCTAAACAATCTTCTACCAGATGTGATATAACTTGTAATATAGATGCATAAATTATAGTCTATAGATGAATTTTACATGCAACTTTTTTTTGCGTAAAATTATATTCAATAAAATGTTCTATTTTGATTATAAACATATTATTAATAAACTTTTTGAAGGTCTTGTTAAGAAAGTGTATCAGAGATTCTTATACTATTCTAAAGACTCTGTCCTATTAGAATTTATTTCTGAGAAGTCTGAACGAATTAAATCCTATTTGAGACACACATTAAAGATTTATAAAAATTCATTAAATAGGAAGAAACATAAAACTATGTCTCAGAAAAAAGTATTGCGTTCTTGAAGCTAACCAGAATGCAATATATTCTCAGCAATACTGACTATATATGTTGCAGACATTGGAACTCAAACCAATAATACTACTCAACTGGAAGCACTAAAGTATGATCATGAAGAAGAAAATAATTGCTGGATTATGAATAAGCTTAAAGTACTATTCCAGCATTTGCTCGATTATAATAGACAAACTTTTGAGAAATTTATGCATAACATAGAAAAAGAATATAGAGAGCAGGTTACTGCAAATAAGAAAAATGTGTTATGAGATCAAAGATCTGAAAATGCAAGTGGTAGAGACAAAAAAGGAACTAGCATTTATGAAGTCAAATTCTATTCATTAGCCAGAATACTTTTTTTCTTGTACTTCTGCAAAGTAAGATCCTAGTTAAGATTACGCATTTTTTGAGAATTTATATAAATCAAAAGTTCTTCCATTTTCTTTTATAATCACAAAAAAAGAATATCATTTCACAGATCTCATCTAAAACAATGAAGAACATATGAAGAACATAAAGCTGAGCTGGAAGAGAAGAACTATTATCTTCATAGTGAATTACAAATAAAAGTGGATATTAATCATCAGAATAAAAGGTGAATTAATCAACTAGAATAATGATTTATATAGCGTTTTTAGTGATTTTAAAGACTTATAGTAATTTATAGCAAGTATATTATAATAAAATATCAGATTCATTTTTATTCGATTGTTCGGATGTGAATAGCTAAACTATAAAACTTGTATCACATGTAGTTTTATGACAGTTCTATGATAGTTCTAGAAGCTGACGAGTTTTTATAAATCACGAGATGATCAGCCAATCAGATTTCAGATTTTTTTTTCTTTAGCCGGATAAGCATAATGGGAATTCAGGAGAATAAAATGCACGTGCAAAAAATATTATTTTTTCTGATGTCTGAGCTCATCAAAACTGTGCAGAAGAAATAAATTGTGTGGCGTAATATGTCAAGTAAAAATTTATGATGCAGTACTTCTGGAGGTAAATCTAATATATTTTACGAAATTATTTATTTCATATTCCAAATGCATTGCATACACATTTGCAAAGCAAATAAAAATATAAGCCTGAATTGTTGGGCAAACTTTATTAAAACGTAGGCTTCAAACTAAAAATAATAGTTGAGGCTGGATAAGCTTGTTCAAGTTCGTCAAACCTCCTACATTAAAATTTCAGCAATTAATAATTGATTTTATCTATAGTTGCTAAGAAAAAATTTGAGTTAGTACTCATTAACATCCGTGCAATAAAGTAATACTAATGTAGGCTGATTAACTTTATAAATACAGTACTTTATAATAGATACTTTAATATTTGATAAAAACTGGAAAATTTTTTGAAGCTGGTTAAATATACGAAATTACAACATCATATGATTTGTGATGCAGTAGTATTATTACAGTAATTTATCAAATTTACGCTAATCGCCAAGTAATATGATGCTTTGACAGTTGAGATTGCTTTATGTTGCCAATACATGATCAATATCATCCTAAGATAATTTATATTTGATGAAAAAGTCACAAGTGCAATTTTTTTACGGTTGACACAGAGAAATCTTATATTTTTATTTTTTTCACTTCACATTACATGTCCATACAATGTTAAAAATCAAATGCCTAATTTGAGAAAAACTTATAGTGCAATACATTAAAAAATTGCCTTACTAATAATTCTTATAATTTAGTAAATATCAATCAATCAATTGCTGGAGGTGGAATTTTCAAGCCTGGAATGCAAACTTTATGAAAAGATGAATTTGATTCTTTATGATACGAAAGGTTGATAGGTGTAAATGGTCTGTTCAATTCCTCAATAGAACGATCGACTTTTTCCTAAATAAAAGAAATAATTAAAAATTATAATATGTAGTAACTAGTTTAAGAATTACAGCAAGACACTTACTAACAAACTATAAAAAGTTGAGATAACAGTTACTAGATTTAAAAAATTTGCATCTTCAGTAGGTAACAATATCCTTCCTATTTATTTGAAATGATATAATTCATCAAACATAAGATCCATGCTAAACAGTTCGATTTGACATTCTGATAAGTTTATGTCTAGTCAGTTAGCAAAGTTAGCCCAGTTAAACTTTAGTAAAATTCCAATAATGATAATTTAACCTTTAATTATGCCTCTAAATGTTTCTGAACATGAAGAATACCCAAACTGCTTATGTAGAGAATCCAGTGATCCTTTCATGAATTCAGCAATTTTGATCAAAGCGTGGTTTACTACATTATTTGAGACACAAGGTGGCTTTACTTCTCCAAAAATAATTTCATTCTCTTCTTCAAAAAGCACTCTGAAATCTGATTTCTAGCTATGCTAGTTGTCATCAGACTTTCGTCATTCTTTCAAGCTACTTGACTCTTTATTTGCCCTGATTTCACAAATGCAATTAAATAGAAAATATGATCTCAAATATTAGTGGTATAATGTTTAGTATAAACATAGGATTTTTTTTCTTACCATAAAAGTTTATAATTCATTGTATTAAAGATTTCCTCTAACTTTAAGTGATACTATCTATGAATGAAGGTATCTTCATCCATAGTGTTTCTTGACAATATATTCAAAAAACTGTAGAATACAAAATAATCAGAGTGTACAATTAATGATAAAAATAAAATAACTTGAATTCTACACTTACAAATTTCTGGTTATAAGTTGCACGCAATCAAAAATATTGGCTTCTTTCTCAATCATTGAAGCATCACATTCAGCCCATATTTGGCACCACTTTTCTTTCAATGCTTTTTATCCGTTAAAAGTTAAAAATCAAATTATTATTATTAATTATTTATTACAATGTTCTCACTATTCTATAGAACTTACCGTATTATAATCCAACATGAATAATCGAACTTTAAGCAGTAAGGCTATAGGAGTGAGTGACCTATGCAATGTGCTCTTCCAAATTTGATTAGTGCAATTTATGTATTTTGGCTTATTCTCTTTCACTAAATGATTAATGAAAGACACCTGCAATTATGATAGAAATTAAATAATGAAGGAAAAAACAAAGCCAATTACTTTTACATAACAAGATATTTACATGATTTCATCAGCATCGGTCGTGTAAAAAAGCCTTGAATTATTCTTTAATCGGTCAACTGTTGCTATTTGAAACTCTCAAAAATCTTTAGAAATATTATACCCGTTTGCCAACCACTATAAGTAAAAAATAATGATTAATGAACATTTACTATACATGAAGAAGTTAAAATATTTCAATGCTTACATCGTGATCTGAATTATTAGAAATTTTTATCTTATCAACAATGTGTCTCCATGAGAGTAACATCTTTAATTGTATAAATATTAATTGATTAACTTTCAAAAACCTGTCTAATTGTAGTCGATTATTTGAAAAAAAAACTATTTACCTTTCCACTTTTTCTGTAGATTCAGATTTATCGCAGGCAGTTTTCTAATATCAACGATTGTTGCATCTTCTGTTCTGCTCATGTTATCAGGGTTGAAAATAGTGGATGTTCTTTGTACATCCATGGAGAGAACCGGATGATTGCCCGCATCAATAACAATTTTCTTACTTGATTTATTTCATTTGACGCTCTTACTACTGGTATCTTTCGTTGACCTACGCTTTCTAGACTTCAGTTTGGCATCTTTAACATTGGGAAGACCTTGGAAGAAAGTGTCAATCTTATTCTCAGTCGCAATACAGATTAAAAACGAGTGAGCTTATGCACATAATATGACAATCAAAACAGAAAAAACATTACTAGAGAGGCCTCCTCAACTTCGGTTGACTCTTCGTTATAATCATTAAAAAAATTGTCTACACTTTTATAGGATGAAGGAGGAGAATGACCGCAAAAGTTGGGAGGGGATGTGATAACGGGAGATACTTCCTTAGCTAAATCCGATGGTTTATCTGATAGATTATACTATACATACGTTTCAGAATTAGCAAAAGATGTTCTTGCAAACTAAACGATAAGATATATTCTGACTTTACTAGATAACATCTTATCACCACTATCTTTTGTCTTTTTTGACGCTGACCTATCCTCAAGAGATCGCTTATGTTCTAGCAGTATTTCCAATACTTGTTATTAATCGATAGAAGAGAGAAGGAATATAAAACTTAAATGTATTACCAAAACATAGTTGATCTTTAGTGACACTGAAAATTGTATCGCTGAAGTCATCATGTAATTCTGCTACTCAAAAAACCATCTTATTAGCATTAAGATTTATAGTCATATTCAACGTTTCTATAAAAATTGAACTTTTTTTTCAGATCTTGGCAACTTGAACTAAATTTGCCTCTTCCTAAAGGAATAAAATAGAGAAGAATACCCATTCAGACATATCCTAAGGTGCTCTATTAGACATATCTATCAGGTTGTCAGACATATCCCTAGCACCCCTGAGTAAATTAGTAGTAAACATCATAAAAAAGTGATTTGAAGTTGTGCCTAATTCAGACGTATTCTAAGGTGTCCTGCTAGCATATCCATCAGGTTGTCAGACGTATTCCTAACACCTTTTGGGCTAAACACATTCTTCACGATTAAAATAAAAGACACTGAATCTCAAAATTTTTTAAAGCCTCCTCTGCTGAGTTTTGCTGACTTTCGTTATCACAAGATATTAATAGATTCGAATTATTATATATTATTTCTAAATATGTCTTGTAAATACGATGCTCATTATCTTTATTCTAAAGTTACTAATGTAGGCTATGCTCCATTTTAAAAAATTTTCTAAGCTCCACGATATATTATTTTCAAAGTAAAGAAGTCTTGTGAGGTTAGACATTCTAATTATTGAAATTTATTTAGAAAAGTTAGAGTGGTTCGAAAAAGAGATTTTTCGTAGAAATTTAGAAGATTGGAGTATATAAAGAAATCAATCATTACACAGGTTAAGAGTTAGGTAAGATGAAAAGGAGTGTCATTGTTGAGTATAGTCATTGTATTACATTAATTTTCTTTAGTCAAAAGTAAATCGTATTCATGTGATATACTCACTTATTAAGTTGATCAATTAATTTGATTATGCGTATACAGTACTACAATAGTTCTAGATCAGATTATTCTAATCGAAAAAAAATAATCAATAAATTGTTGTTATAATTGAGTATTATATAGCTCGGTCAGATCATGTCATAAAATAATAAATATGGTTGCGAGGTGAACACTGATTTTTATTGATCAGTACACATAAAACATGCACACATGTTTAAAAATTTAAAGTGAAATCTTTATTATACTTTTTTTTGTAAAGAAATACATGAGAAAGGGCCTGCCGGCTAAGTAAAAATGAAAGTAAAAAACAATAGAGTAGCAGGTTGTTTCAAGGGAGGAAAGGCATAAAAGAACATGCCTGCTTGTTAAGCCTGCCAAACCCTAACTCATATATTGGCAATTCCTTTCTTACTACTCTGCTAAACTATTAATAATTTCTTTATTATTTACCCAACTCATAATTGATATTACTATATTAAATTTTGGATCCCCTTGACCATAATAAAAACTTTTCACAGCATTCCACAAGTAGAATGCTGATCATTCAGAATATATGAGGCCTTTGCAATAGAAAGGGAGAAAACTCAAAAAAAAAATAAAAAATGAGTTAATAATAAATCTGAACAAATTATAGTATTTAGAACATTTTTGGCTTATAAACTAAAATTTTAATTTTTTTGGAGTTTCCTCCCTTTCTATTGCAAAGATCCCATATGCTGATTTATAACTGTTTGATTATTCAAATTGATTAGTTGTTAATAAGCATATATTACAAATTAGAAATCAATCAGTTATTTACCCGATTAATATAGAATTATTAACAGATTGTTATCTATTTATTATTTTTGCTACTATATATTAAAAAAATGACTTTATAGATGAAAATGTTTATTAATAGGAATGATCGCCATGTATTTGATAGGTTTCTTTACTCCTATTACAAAATTACTACTAACAAATTGGCAATATATATTGTGAATAGGAATTATACTATCTCTGCTGATTTCATAAAAATTATTCTTTCAAAGTTCAATATTACTGCTACGATCATCATTATTTTCAATTCGATAATAAAACCTAATTTTCTGATGATCTACTGGTAAAAACCATCTAACGAAGGCTAAATAATAACTTTTAGTTTCATCTGAAAAATCAATTTTGTGTTCAAAATAAAATTGAACTTGGTCGGGAAATGTTTCTATAATACCATTACTCTGAATGAATTTTGCAAGAATTTGTGAATTCTTTGCGAACTAAGGTACTAAAGTTGATTCAAATACTTCTGCACCAATTTGAATACGGCCAAATTGATTTACATTAGGCATAACAACAATTGGTCAATCAGATGTTTCATTTTTAAATGCTCTACTTTTAACCAAATCAGTAACTGATACAAATGTCATTTCATATGCATTATTATAATATTTTACGAATAGCTTGTAAATATCATTTGGTAGGTTTACTTCAGACTTTTTTGGGGTAAGCATTACTCTAGGAAATGACTCGCTATTGGTTATAGTATCATTAATATTAAGATAATAAATATCTAAAATTAAGATAATTCATCAATTTCAAATCTGTTGTATGCTGCCAAACTTCCAACAGTTAGTCGAGATCGAATCAAATCCAATCCTTTTTTCAATTTTTGATTTTCTGTTTGCTGAGAAATTAGATTATTTAATCGCTAATTTTGTATTATAATACGTAATAATTCTGGCTCAATATTATATTTACTATTAGGTAAAGATCCTATTAATAATATAAATAAATTAAATAAAATTTTTATTTTTGAAAATAATTAAAATAATTATTAAAATCACTTATCCAATACTCCATTTATTCATTCAAATGAATAACACCAAAATGAATAAAGTGGACTATAATTGAGATAACAGTCAGTAATATGAAGTGATAAGTGGATATTTGGCATTATAAATTCTGGTTTATAATGTCTTTCAATTAAAAGAGTGACCTTTAATAATCAGAAATGTGCCTTTTTTAATGCATTATTATCAATAATGCGTGAGACTAGTAAGAAGCAAGCCCTAACAAAATTACCTAATATTTCCTGATCAAAATTTCCAAGAATATTCCAAATTAATAGCGTGGCATATATAAGAATGAAGTTTTTCTATTGGTCTGATGTAAATCCTGAAAAGCCTTCACCTGTAGCGATTTTATTTAGAATTCTTCCAAAATTAAATGGTAATTTTATATCATTTGCTCTCTTTTCTATTTCTTCAAGTTGTTAGTTTGTAATTTTACCATTGTATATTCATAGTCTCTTTATTATCTACTGAGCAATACTGAGAAACAAGCAATGCATAAATCAACTATTAGATGTTTGATAGGATCATGGTAAGATAAGCGTAATATTTTAGACCACCTGGTTAAAGTGATTGAAATATGATGATCTCTTTCTTTTTCTGTTTGATAATACAGCCAAACTGTAGCATTTTGTCAGTGTTCATTTGGGTTTCTTATTATAAACCAGCTTACCATATCGTCAAATCTGCCATAATTTGCCCTTTTACTATTATCATCACTATTTGCATGTTTATAACACCTATGACATGTCACAATAGTTGATATGTATTCACATAATTTTTAAATTGCGGAAATATCATTCGAGCAGCAAATAACTGCTAATCATATTCTTTTTCTATTTGAAAATTTGGATGAAACTGGCAAATCATATCCATTTTACAATTCCAATAATTTATCAATGATTAAAGCAAGAAAATGATTAATTTGATGCTTTTTAACTTCTTGAAGTTCTGGCAATATTCTAAGAGTTAATATATTCTCTTTTTTAAATCTTATTTCACATGAAAGGTTACAAATAACTTCATAAATTATACCAGTACTATATACAAAAGATTCAAAAGGTTAAAACCAATTAAGATTTATCATTATTCCTAAATGAGAATTTGCAGTTTCTGGTGTAAAAAATCAGGAATTCAGATCCTTAAGAGAAGAAGAAAATGTTTTCCAAATTCTTTCTTCATATATATCAGACATTAATCCATTTCTCACATCCCGATTTATCTATTTTAGAAGTTATTATTCAAAATTTGGGCGTTAAAATATAGTAACCAATTGGTTCTTCAAGTTAGACAAAGAAAATATTAACTTTGAACGCCAGATATATCCTTATATAATCAGAACCTTTTTCATTATTTCAGTTTTGTAAGCTTTACGATGATTTTGCTTTAGATGAGTTGAAAATTCAATATAATCATACTTGAATCTAAATTTATTATTATATGCATTATGCAATTTATTGCAGTTAAGACATATTGTAAATATTTTTGTCTTTTCTCTGATTTCAAGCAGTTTTTTTGCTACATATGCTGATAGAGGAAATTTTTTAAATCGTCTCAAATCAACATCAATAAAACAAGCTGAAAAAACTGGATTAATAAATTTATTGCTACATCTGGAAGACGAAACCTTTCTTGACATTTAAAGATCTAAAGTAAAATCTACAAATCGTCAAAGCTAGTAGATCAGGATTCAAATTAATATCTATATTATTTAAATCAGAAGCAGAAAATTGTTCAAAAATATTTCTATCATTTTTGTTGCTTAATTCTTCTTCTTCTTCATGTAGGTATTTATCATCAGCTGATTGAAATCATTCTTCTTTACTTAATGAACTGGATAATTGGGTTTATCCTTCTTCTTAATTTATGTCAATAATATCTGTATGTTGAAACTGATCATATCTTTTTCTAAGTTCTTGTTTCTTTGATTTCCAATTTACTTCTTTATTATTGTCAAATGAACTTGTTGAACTGGAAGATAATGAATCGACTACAATTAGTTTAGAGTTTTTTCTAGAAACATTCGAAACTTCATGCATTTTATTAGCAGTTTGTTTTGATATATAAGAATGGGTTTCAAGCTGTTCTTCAAAGTTATTATGTCTTCTTCTTATTCTTGGATCAACTTCTTTACCGTTACATTGATCACAATAATAAGTAACCAGTTTTCTAATTGTAGAATTAGATATCTTTGATTTTTTCTGCTTATATTTTTTAGTTTGTTTTTTATTAGAACTTCTTATTATATGTTTAGGTATTTAAATAGTTAATTTCTTTGTGTTAGAATTTCTCGTTAGATGTGTCTAAGAGAGAGTTTATATATTTGCATAATAAATAACATTTGGCATTAATCAATATATTGATTTCTTGATATTTTATTGATATCATTATAGTATATCAATCAACAAACATTTATATTAATCAATTAAAGTATTATATTGATTAAAATAAAATCTCTATATTGTTTGATAATATATTTATACTTTAATCAGTATTACATTGATTAAATAAACTTATCATAAACTATTTATATTTAAGTTGATTTGCTAATAAATATAAAAGAACAATCTTTGGATTTTTTTTATTTATATCATTCTTTTCCTGATAAAATACAACTTTAAATAAACACATTCTCAATGTTTTAATACACTATGACATGTACACATATTTCTCAAAATAAATATTTAGGTTAACAATCTCCTTTACGAAAAAGAGGCTGGTCACATTCACATTCTCATAAAAACATAAGAATAAATATCAGTAATAGCATCATTAATAATTGATTTACAATTATATTTATTTATAAACAATTTAAATACATATTTTGATATTTTCTGTATATATGATAGTTTTTTATCAGAATCATTAGAGTCTTTATCATCAGAAATGACTTAATATGAAAAATATCCAAAAAAATATAGAAAAAATCATAATAATAGATCAAGAAAGTATCAAGATGAACTAAATGTTAATCGTGATGATTCAAGAAGAAATCGTGATAATGATTTAGAAAAGGACATGAAGATTTATCGAGAATGAGAAATTGTAATAAATCAGATATCATTTGTAAAGACAATTCAGAAAAAAGATACGAAGAAGAATCAAGAAGAAGAGTTAATGATAAATCAGGTATAATGATGAATTAATATTAGTTAGTATATAATGCTTACGAATAACGAATACAAAGAACTACATTTCACCTTTATTTTAGAACAAGCTGTTATTAATTTACAAGTCAACTACCTTAAAGAAATGATTGAATTTATTAAATGAGAAAAGATGCGAGAATTGCGTCCAAATGAACTATTACTAAATAAAAAAAAAGATATTATTAATACAAGTGTTAAACAAATTATAAAGAACTTTTAAATATAATATAGCTAGTCTGTCAAATATCAAAGGTTCTGATTATAATGTGACCGGTCTATCCAACATCAAAAAGAGTTTCAGCTGTGATGATAATCTATCAAACAAATATTCATATCAATCATACTTCAAAACTGGTGAAATTATCGATAATGAATCATACTATAAAGCTAATGAAATTACTAATAATGTAGTTTCTCTTGATTCTGATACTTCAGATGAAGAAATGAATGTACAAAATATAAACATTATAAATATAAAAAAAAGAAAAGAAACATGAAAAACATTATTACCCAAAAATACCTAATTACATATATACTTTGAACATGAACAAAAATCTCTTAACAGCATTAAGAGTAAGTATTATTTTTTTGTTATATTCTTGTTTTCAATATTAATTACTAATTAACATAAATTAAATAGTTTAGAAAAAAAATATTTAGAATTATCGAAAACATGCCAAATGATTCCAAATTGAATATAAAACTTACATTTGAATCTCAACGAAATCTAGTAAATCGTATAATTATCTAAACTATACAAGCGAGTATGACTGTCAAAGATTTCCTGTTAATGATAATATTATATATGATATCATTCATGAATGACATTGACATTAAAGAGAATCGTATTTATTAGGATTAAAAAGTTCAGAAAAACAAGACAGATAGGCGAGGAGAAGGCACAAAAATGCTTGTGTTAGAAAAATAAATATCTCATCAATAATATTTATATTCATTGTTACTCATTATATTTATATACTTATAGAAAAGGTTACAACAAGTCAGAGTAATTGATTGATTATGTCAAGAAAAAAATCAACTAATTAAAAAATTTTCAAAAAATGAACTTTGTCTAATTATTGATAATAACTAATACTACTCAGAAGAAGAAAGTAAAACTAATCCAGATTATCCAGATAATAAAAGATTAGTTGTCATTAAGGATATGAGTTAGCATTTTTTAACAGTAATTTTTAATTTTTAATTTGTTTTATATATATGTATATAGAACATTAATTAATTATTCTTAGACTCATAAATTCTTACGAGATTATATTGATAAAGTATTTAATGAACATCCAGATCCACTCGCTAAAGAAATCATATTTATGTCAATGAACATTATATTATTGGTGATGCTCTATTTAGGACTCCTAATTAGACTCTTTCCAGATATAATAGTCATTTAAAGAAATGTGTTGATAATGCTTAATCAATGTTATTCAAATATCTAAGCAGAATTAAATAATGATGATAATAGTAGTCAACAAGAAGGAAATTCAAAATATGATTCAGATAGGATTAATTAGTTTATATTTAAATATTTATATTAAATGTACTTATAATCTGACAAAATTCAATAAATTAGCATAAATTACATTTTTACCAATATTTAGTAATCTAATCGAATTATACTAATTAGTAATTTAATATTATTCAGTTTGTAAATAAAGAAAAAAAAAGCTATAATTTAGCATACAATTCGATAGTCTAATTGTATACCTAATGATAGCTTTTACTACATCCTAATTGATTTCTGAATAGGGACCTAAATTTAGACTATTATTAGATATAATTCAGTAATTACTGAATGACTCCTAATGATACCAATTCAGGAATCATTAGGGTATCATTCAGATATCATTCATATATTCTAATAATTTCTGAATTGGTATTATTAGACCAGTGCTCTTCCCAATCTTATATCCAGTAAGTTTACGAATTTCACGTCTAATAGTTTCAAATGCATAATTTAAAGTTTCTTTTTCCTTATTTGAATCTAAAACTCGCTTAAAACGATTCCTATTTTCTTTAAGAGATAAATCAGATAATCGACTAGAAGAACTTATACTACTAAAGAAATGATTGGTCACACTCAATTGATCAAAATCGACCTGAAGCTTTTAGACAATTGCATAACATTGGATTATTTCATTTTAGAGAGCTTCAATAGAAGCCCTGACTGAATTGAATTCAGATAAAATGTTACCAAAATCATTATAGCAGTCTTCTTTAATATCATTGACTATTGATAAAATTTTTTGCATCTCAGTAGTATAGTTAGTATTACAAGAATTGATTTTAACAATTTCTCTGGTAAGTTTCTTATTAAATTCATTGTTTTTTCTCACAAGCTTCACAGTAAAAGAAGTATTAACTTCAAGAAAGCGTACAGAAAGTTTATTGGTGATTTTAGTATTAATTTTCACAGTAAGTTTACTGAAAATATTTTCAATTTCTGGTGTATCAAGATCATTAATGATTCTAATGACATGTGCAGAAAGTTCATTGAAAATTTTTGTTTGAAATTTGATCACATAGTAATGATCTCTACAAATATTGCTGAACCAATGAATAAAAAAATAAAAAAAATAGCAGTTAATATAAAAAAAGGCATGACTTCCAAAAAGTTAAGCAATGACAAACTGGACATAATTAGGCGTAGTAATTTTATTAAGAGATCTTATTGATAGATCAAGTTTTTTAGATATACTTTTTTTTAATATGCAATCTCTTGTGTAAATGCGTTAAGAAAAAAGTTTATTTTATACTATATGCCTACTATGCGCAAAAAGAGAATTTAACCTGATTTAATAAAAGTTATATTGCTTTATTGTATGTATTTATTATAATTACATTTTTTTATAATTACATTGTTTATAAATGTCTGATTGTTAAAATAATAATACATAACGCGTTAACAGTATAAAATTGGTATTATGAATATTAATAAAATACTAGAGAATTTATTGTTTATTACTAAGATTATCTGTTAATCTGCAAGAGATAGCTTACCCCGCTAGTATTTTTTTTTTTGAATTAATGACCAGAAAAAAAAAAGGTGACCCATATTCGTATTCTATACAAATCTACTAATACCTATAAATGAAAATTTGTTTTATTATGTAGAATATGGTCAGAGGCATCCTTATATTTCATAGGATAAAGATCTGTAAATTAGATAGATTAAGAGATGCAATTTTCCATTCTTGTCTCATTATAACAACAGGGATATTGAATTATCTTGTGTGATACTAATTCAAAGATTAGTAATATATATATTATACCAGAACCTTTCGAAAAAAAGTCAAATATTATCACTGGATTAATTATTTATTGATCTAAACTCACAATCTACTTTTCCAAAGATTTGTAAAAATATGACGATATTTTATGAGATCTTGGCCCTAGCTTCATTGTTACAAAAATAGCATATATTTACCATTATTATAAAAATAGCATATCTAGATCTAAAAATAGAAGCACTGTGAAAATATATAAATTTTTCATTCAGGTGATCATACCCTTATTCACTGCAGAGAAGTATAATGATGATGTACTTACTTACTGCGCATGATATATGCTCAGCTAAGCCACCCATGTGATTCAAAAAAAATATATGATTTTGCATAATTCAGTAATTGATTCATTCAATAATTCTTCTAGGTGGTTACTAGAGAGATAATGGGACTCATCATTAATAAGACTTTTCTTCATATCTTCTGTCACAATAATAACAACCTCTATTACACTTATTATATATATTATATCTACTATATCTATCATATCCGTTATCATCTGAATCATCCAGCATCTCTTCTTCAGAATCACTAGAATTAGAGTTATTATTTGACTTAATTTTGTTTGATTCTCCTCCTGATTGTGAAGCAACTTTTTTATTCGTTTCTTTTATCAACTTGGGTGTGAAATCAACTTTCTTATTAAAATATACATAATTCTTTGCACAATCTTCTAAGAGTATTTTGTAAAAATTGACATCAGCTTCGAGCGAATTGCTTAGGCTGACTTTTTTGAAATCATCAGAAGAATTAGAGTCATGGGTTAAAGGAATAGATGCTGTTAATTCGCTTATCTTAGCTAAAATCAAGGGATTCATTTGCATCTCTAATATATTAGTTTGACTAAAAGAATCATTATTAATAGAATTGTCCTGATCATCACTAAAATTTGAAGTAGGCTTATTTAAGAAATGATTCATGATCTTTTGGATTTCATCACTAGTAAACTTTGATATTTCATTTACACTATATGTCCTGATGTATTGGATTTTATCTAATCCTATTTTTTTGAGAAGTTTGTAGATCTTCTCAGCTCTTTAAGTTTTTTTGCGCAAATCATCTCTTGTTATATTTAGGAGTAGCTAGAGTAGAAAAGGTCTGTCATAGTTCAATTAAAGTCCCAAAACCTGCAAGTCTTGACACATTAACGGACTAACTTTATCTTATCAAAGTCCTGTGATTTATTTGAGACTGATATTAGAACTGAGTCTTTTCTTTAAAATTAAAACATTTAATTATTATGTAGATCGTCAGAAAGTTTGTGTAATATGTTATATATGTAAAATTGCAATAATAAAACGTAAATTATAGTCATAATTTATTTACCAACTCACAAACAAAGCTAGATTTCAATGAAAAAAATAGCAAAATCTTTCTTTATTTAATAGTATTAATCAAATTAATACTTTGCTACATAGATATCTATATACTATATTATTATTTTTTCTCTCCTACTCCTCTTTTAAGCCAGCTTTTTAAACATAATAATGCACGAGACATCTCTGGATACAATCTATTTCTAGTACGGGTTATAGTATTACTTGTAATAGAAAATACCTGTTTGTATACAACACTGGTAGTCTGGATGAATAAATAGTCTCGTTCCATTGTTCCTAATATTAAAAACTCTTGAAAATGAGCCTGCAATCATAACAAAGGTTCAACATTGTCATCACATGGCAAGGTAAGATATTGATCAAACTCTTCATAAATTTCAGATGTTTTTTCAGTTGTTGAAGTAGTACTAACAATATTATTTGTATTTTCTAATCGCCTCTTCTTTAATTAATGAAAATATTCCTAAGTACTTACTTTTTTACTATTGTTATGATTGATTACGAATGATGTTTGAGGTTGTGGTATATGATATTCAGTAAAATGACTTTTTACTATGTTAATCGCATTTGTTGATTCTTTTCCTATAATAAATAAAGTAAGTTTTGTACGTGGATCTAATACTGTAGCTACTAAGGTAGATAAGTCTACTATTTCCTAATACTGATCGATTTTTTGAAGTATTGATGATGCTAACTCATTTTGACTAAATTCCAATTTTCCAATATAATCATCTAGATGTTGTTGAATTCCAAGAAATAAAAATCTAACATTAGAAATAGTAGGATAAGA